GGAAAACAGAAAACCTGTGAGCACACAAACCCTCTATTCTTCTCTGGTGGCTACCAGCATGCCACTCTAATTAAAAGTGGTTAAAGGTCCGCTTTGAAGACCTGAGCATTCAGTGCCTGCCTGTTGGTCTCCTTTGCTGTGCCCTAACCACCTAGCCTCTGATTTTATTTGCAGTCCTGGGTTCAGTTTCCTGTGGGCTGGCCTGCTCAGGACCTTTCAGAGAGCTGTCAACTCTGTGACAGTTTAGAGCATAAATGGAAAGGATCCTCAGTGCTCAAGGACTAAGCCGTGTGCCTCAGCCAGGCTCCCTACAGGGCTGGCTTCTGTCTCCATGACAGACTCGACCCCTAGAGCCCATGGCATAGGGGGATAGAGCCTAAGAGCAGTGGTGAGCAGGGAATGGATTAAAAGGCTCTTGAGGAAGTAACCGCCATCAGCCATGGTTCAGTGTTTCAGTGGGGGAGTGTGGTGTGGTGTGTGTTCCTAGGGATAGAATCCATGGCCTTATGTATGCTAGGCAGGCACTCTACCACTGAACTACATGCCAGCCCTCAGACCTGGGTCTCTTGTCACCCAGGTCTCATGTCCTATGAAGTCTGCCATTTCATGTCAAGGCCCTGTGGTTAAATGGGTACCGAACTTCATATCCTTTAGGCCCAAAAGGCAGCTTGAGGTTTGCTGGGAAACAGGAGAGCAGGGCCCACAAGGCTGAATGTTACTAATAGCACAAGATGGGCAGCTACTGGCTGAGCAGAGGTTTTGGACCACTGTGGTTTCCCAAAAATGAGCCTCCCATTTCTTTCCCATGGACCGCTTGCCCAGGAGTGGTCTGCAGATCTGAATCGAACTCTCAGCCGGAGAGAGAAGAAGAAGGCTGCTGATGGTGTCACCCTAACAGGAATCAACCAGACAGGGGACCAGTCTGGACAGAACAAGCATGGCAGGTGAGATCAAGGCACAGTTCCAGTCTGAAACTGACCATCTGGTCAGGAGTGAGGATCTGCTGGTCCTGGGATGCCACCAGCTTGGGCACTTGGATGATTGCACATGAGACAGAGACCCCAAGAACAGATGTCCTGGAAACTCTGAGCTCTGAGTGAAGCATCTCTCAGTTCTCTTCCTGCTCGCTGCTAGAGTTGCTGTAAGATCTGGAGAATGCCTTTTGCACAGTGTACCTGCACTGGTAAAGGAGCTGCTGCTGTTAGCTGCTGGTGTTCATCTGCATGGTGCAGCCCTGGTGGAGACAGCAACTAGAGACATGATGTCAGTGGCACCGTCCTGTGGGGACTTCTGTGTGCGGTGCCAGGAGATGCAGGACAGTGGGGGATGCTCACATGTCCCCCTTACTTAGTGGTAGCTATTTCTGAATAGACTCAGGGTGTATGTAACTCAGCAGCAGATCATTTGTCAGGCAAGTAAAGGCCCTGGGTTCAGTCCCCGCACCCCGAACAGAATACTCCCTTGTTCCCAAGGACAGAAATCTCTGACTTGATTATCTAAAAAAGACTTGTGGATTGGAGTACCAACTGTTGTCATTAGAACCTTCTGGAAAGTATGTGCTGTAGGACTTGGTTAGAGGTTTCTGTGCCATGCTTAGGTAATTGTCACCTTAGCTCAGGTTCCAGGGACATACTTATGACCCAGGCACTAAGCCCCCTGTCCTCCCAGGCTCCCCAGTCACACATGGCTGTCCCTGCTCAGCTGCTGTGCTCAGAGGCTGTGCAGAGAGCCCTGTCTTGAGGGCCCAACCTCAGAACCAAGCCATGCTCCCCAGTGTGCTCGGTGCTAGGGGGAGAAAGGAAGGAACTGGGACTCAGAGGAGATGCTGTGAACTAGTGGCTGGCCAGAGAGAATGCACCAGGTCAGTGCACAGCACTGAGTCCCTCAGAAAAGTCAGCCGGAGCAGGGAGCCCAGGAGGGTAGAGGGTCTGGTGGTGTCCAACACACTGCCTGTACAGTACAGACAACCAGCCAGGGTCACTCGGTAGCATCTGAGGGGTTTCCCACCCTCCCCTGATGGCTCTAGGGTAGTAGCTGCTCAGTTTTATGCTGCCCAAATCCCTGGTCACTGGTGTGGGTGGCAGTTTTATCCAACGGAACCCACCCAGGGTGACTTTCTATACGTTTTTCTTGTGGTGGCTCCCTGATAGTGCTCAACACCCTGCAGCCCCTTCATCCCGCTCCCTACTAGTACCCAGTGTCTCTGGCTGACACTGAGCTGGGAAGACAGTTGGCAAAATTACAGGAATGGTTTGACTCCAGAGCACTAGAGGGCCCTCCTGTGCACAAGCCATAGTTCTAACTGTGGAAGCTCCAGAACCAGGGAGCTGACCATTGACCTATTAGTAGTTAGAAGGGGCACTGGAGAGCTGAGGAGGTCCCTACTCCATGAATACAGTCCTTCTGGGACTGCTGCTTCCTAGAGGAGCTCCACCATCCGTTTTTTCCCACTGACTAAACCTTGCGTGGGAATGAGGGGTAGGAAACTGGAGAAACCCTGGCCCAGGAAGTGCTTGTGTACCTGTGGTGGACAGTTAACTTGTAGATGATCAAGGTATAGTGACACGTCGAAGCAGAGCCACATGTCCTACTGACATCATCTTTCAGTCAACACCCTCCTTCTCGGATGAGGGGAGCTGCTGGAACTCTAGAGATACTGTCACTGTCTTCTGCAGCTGGAGTCACCAGGCCCTCAGTGGGCCCCAAGCTGTGATCCCTGAAAGCTCTCTTTCTCCCCCATAGCAACCTTAGTGTCCCGAGCAACCCCGCCCAGCCCACGCAGTTACAATCCAGCTACAACCCCTTCGAGGACGAGGACGACACGGGCAGCACCGTCAGTGAGAAGGAGGACATTAAGGCCAAAAAGTTGGTGAACACACACTTCCCTCTGGCTTCCACCTCACTCTCTGTGTGTCTCCTTTCTCTCTATCCAGGGGTCTCTTGGGGTCTCACCCCTCAGCACTTCAGTAATGCATGAGTCCTGCAGGACCTGGGCGCCTGCCCTCTGTATTCCAGGCCTGCTGGGACAGTGCCAGGCCTCTCCACCTCTCTGGGAGGGCACAGCTAACACTCTTTGGTTGCTTTTCCTCTGTCTTTCGTTAACCCTTTAAGGCCTGAGCAGCATCGCTACAGGAAGACAGACAGGCAGTCTAAGCTGGGGGAGCTGCTGAAGTGGGTCGAGGTCTACCTGCAGGCACTACTCTGGGGTATTGGCAAACCCCCAGCTTCTCTTGAGGGCTCAGAGGGGCCTGGCTGCACCTGCCCGTGGGGCAGGAACTCTGGGTGGGGACCTCACATCCTCTATCAGTCTCGTCCGCGCTAAGAGCCTCATGTCATCCTCTGTTGCAGTGTGAGCAGCTACGAGAAGACTCAGACTTACCCTACTGACTGGTCTGACGATGAATCTAACAACCCTTTCTCCTCCACGGATGCCAACGGGGACTCGAACCCATTTGACGAGGATACTACCTCAGGAACGGAAGTGCGAGTTCGGGCCCTCTATGACTATGAGGGGCAGGAACACGATGAGCTGAGTTTCAAGGCTGGTAGGTGACCTTCCCAAATACCCACCCTGGGAAAGGAGGCATCCAGCCTGCTGAGGGGACTTGTCTTTTCTTCTCGAACTCTTGTAAAGTTCCTGCTAGTTTCATGTGTTGGTCTTAACTATAGTACCTTTCCCCACCCAATCTTTGCGTGGCCCCTTGTCCCAGCCAGGGAGATGATAATGTGTTGTTCATGGTGGGCCGGTTGAAGGCCATCTCTGACTTGTGCTTTGTTAACCATTGACTTTCACTGTCTGCTGGCTGCTAGTCACTGGCTGATGTTACCACCTCCGATTTTACAGGTATCTGTGTGCTGTTAATTACATTAAGATCTCTGTGTTCTGATGTTTATGTGATTAACTTGTCTCAGGGTTAACTAAGCCACCGAACTATGGCTGCAGTCTTTCTTGGGTACCTCTTTGTCTCTGGTCTCCTAGGCAGAAGCTTCTTGCAAGAAGCTCTGCTTACAATTTGGCCTGTCATTAGAAGCGAGGTTATAAGGACAATAGTGACTTAAGTGTGTCCTTCGGAGCCTTTGGGGGCTAGTCAGAATGCCATCACTGGTCGAGACGCCTGTCCCTCCTCTTAGCTGTGCAGCTGGGGTATCTCATGCTGCCTTCTTGTTTACCCTCTTTCGGTACTGCAGACTTGGTTGTGCTAATCTTTTTAGCCCCCGCCTGTGTCCTCACTAGGAGCCGAGACAGTTTTCACAATGCAGTTTTCCCTTCCTGCCCCCGGAGAGTGAGCCCTTGTGTCCTGATAGCACAGCACACTCATGCTCTCTGCATCCTGGGCACCTTGTGTGTTACTGGGAACCTCGTGTGTTAGCACTCAGGCCTCGCTGGTCTCTTCATCTGCACATGGAAGTGTCTAGAGAGAAGACCCTGTTTGCCCAGGTCTCTGCCAGGCCAGCAGTAGCTCAAGAAGCAAAACCTCAAAGGGCTGCAGGAATGAGCCCCAAGGACACCTTGAGCCACCACACAGATTGAAAACATGGGGGCATGTTGCTAAGCGAGGCAGCCCGGGACACACAGGACAGACACAAGGCTGAGCCTGGTGCTATTACAACCTAGACTGCTACTTGCTCCAGGCTTACTCTGAGAGCTGCCATCTTCAGATCCCAGTGGTCTCTGTGACAGAAGCTTTGAATACAGTGTAGTAGTGAAATATCCAGTGTCTTGCCTCACCTTCAGGAAACTGCCTATCCCTCTGCCCTGGAGACCCTCTGAGGATCTGTCTAGAAGCATGTTCCACATCCACATGGGATTTGGATGTACAGGTGACTTAGTGGCCCACCCTGTCACTAAGACAACCCTCTTTTTGTCTTGCAGGGGATGAGCTGACCAAGATAGAGGACGAGGATGAACAGGGTTGGTGCAAGGGACGCTTGGACAGCGGCCAGGTTGGCCTATACCCTGCCAACTACGTCGAGGCTATCCAGTGACAGGCCATGGGCAGGCTGGTGGAGAGACGGAAGTGGGCAGTTCAGGAGCTCCGTTAGCCTTGGCCTGTGCAGCGACACCTCTAGTTCCCCCAGCAGCCGTCTAGGCATCCACTCCACCTGCAAAAGATGATGGTTCTGTTGTTCTTGGCTTCCTGGTGTATTTTGAAGGCAGATGAGCTGGTGATTTCACTGGGGACTTGGCCCCTTTCCAAGCACATCTGGGCAGATCTAGGCACAGGAAGAAACACATGATCCAACAGCAAAAGCCAAGCCCCTCCCTACCCCTACCAGCTCTCTGTATCATGGATCTGCACCTTCTTGCCCTTGCCTCTCCTGAGTCAATGACGGATCACACTGATTCTTGTTCCACTGATTATTTTCTCTGATGAGTCCCTACCTGCAAGTTCAGTGAACAGACTTCAACGCCATTTTCTGAGTAAAGAGTTTGAGTTTTTAATTTAAAGGCAATGTACAGTTATACTTTTTTATATGCTCTTCCAGTCACGTAAATTATGGCCTAGATTGATCCGAGATGTTCTCTATGTAAGGTGTCTTCATTTCTCTGCTTTGTCCAGATGTGGGGTTGCTGTAGCAGGGGTTCCATGGCAAGTGCCAGTTGCAGGGGTAACGTTTTGCAGCATTCCCCAACATCACCATTATTTTCACTCTATTCTTGCTTCAGTTTTTGCAGATTAACAGTTTTATTAGTGATTTGGAAAGTTAAAAGAAGACTAACTTTTCAAAGCAGCTACATCTGTAGATTAAGATGCTTTACATTAGACTCATGTCTTGATGTATATCTGTATATATTATTTGATATTCAGAGAATCTATAAAGTTCACCTACTGTTGAAATGAGAGTTGGTGGCTTCTGACAGCAGGTATTGTCACCTGCTTGAAGCCCATGGCATTGAGGACAGGCATGGCTGGCCGACAGCCGCCTCCCAGTTAAGATGTGGCTCTGGCCTCTGAGTGGAGGCTGCTGAGAAGACTGATTCTCACTGGTCAGAGCTCCAGCTCCATGGCAGAGCACTGGAAAAGCTCCCAGGTCTTTGCTGTCGTCACAGGCTTCACAGTCCTGTGCCACTCACTGGAGAGTTCGAGGGGTTCTACCCCCAGCACACGTCCCTCCAGGTACCCTTGTCCTCCAGTACAGTGGAACTGCTCTGAGCCCCAGGGATGGGCTCGGGGAGGGCCTTTATTTTGTTAGCTCAGACCGTGTGCAGTGTTGCACATCAGCAGCTTGTGTTTCTCAGTGTTTGCCATGAGCGCCCTGTCACTGTGGCTATGTGTCATGACAACTTACCAGCAGAAATCCTTGTTCCTCAGCTATAGTCCTTAATGTTTAGAAAGTCCTTTAAATGTATAGTATTTTAGAAGAAGAACAAATCAATAAACAGTTGATCTTGTGCGTTTGACAGACCCTTTTCTTTGCATCCACCTCATGTTCACACAGCTGATAGACCTGTCTCTGGGCACAGCAACTGAAACAGGGCAAGATCCAGTACACAGGAATTCTTCTCAGGGCTACGTCTCAGGTTCTGCCACCAGAGGCTGAGGACTTGAGGCACCTTGGGCATCCCTGGGGAGGGTATCCCTGGTGCTACCCTCTCTCCTGACCTAACAGAACAAGCCCAGCAGCCACTTCCCCATACCTCTGCGTACCCACTGTGTGTTGGCCCTTGTGTGTCACTGCTGTGTTTTCTGCAAATAGCTGGTCTCTGGGTGTAATGTGAACAATGCAGGTCCCAGCTGGTCCTAGGTGCACAGAAAATCTCCAAGAACCTTGTCTTCTATTGGGATCAACTGAGGAAATCAAGCCAGGCTTGGTAGCCCTGACCAGTCTAGTGAGGAGGTCCTTGTCATGGTAATGACCACCTATGCTTGGGACCTGTCACTACCCTTGGCTGCCCTTTCCACACCACCTGGGTTGGGACCCTAGGTCCCCTTGACCTTCCATACTCCCTAAGCTGACTCTAGGTAGGATGAAGTAAGCCCCAGACCCTACCTGGACAGGAGTTCCATGAGAGCTAACAAGGAGGCATCTCATTGTACCCACCAAGCCCTGCTCATCCCCACTGTAATGTAAGCATAGCCCAGTGACCAGGCTGCGGTCTGTCTCTGCTATAGCCAAAGCTAAAACAGTGGTCTTCAAAGGCCTCTGCAGACAACAGAGCTACCCAGACAGACCTGTCTCTGCTTAGGCTAGTCTCTCCTAGCCTGCCCTAAGGAGCCTGTGGGGCTGGGCCATGCCAGGCTATTAGGGCAGACCTGTAGGGTACTGCTCATAACTCATCAGGATGGGGATAAGGAAGGTTTATAAAGGACCCCATGGACACCATACCAACTCCCTCGTGATTCAGAGGAAAACTGAGGAAGGTGAGACTTGCCCATGGACACAGCAAACAGCAGGGACATATAAACCAGGTTGCCTCTCCTGGCAGGGGAAGAGATTGACTCATTTATCCACCAGGTAGTTATCCCCAAATACACACACCCAAGCATTGATTGAGTACCTACTGTGTGCTACACTTCAACAGTCCAAGCATAAAGCAGAACCAGTGGGTACCCTTGGGAAGATGCCACATCAGCCCCACACCAGGAAAAGAACGTCCCTGGTCATAGATGTACTCTGGAAGTCTCCAGATATCAAGATGGGCAGATGCTTCTAGTCCAGCGCTAGAACAGATGAGGTAGAGCACTCCTTGGTCCTTACACTGTTTTCCCCAATTCCAGTAACAAGCATCCTGAGTCCGTCCGTCCGTCCGTCCGTCCTTCCTTCCTTCTCCCCCCTCTAGGAGGTCGAGCTGGACAGCAGAGACGGCACCTTGATCCTGGCAAGTACCTGAGCCCCATTTCTGCAAAGGGAGATCAGTTAGGATGACTGTGGGTGTCCAGAAACCAAGAGACCCAGCCAGGTGCGCTCCCTGGGTCGTAGCTGCTCTTGGAGCTGCCTGCTTTACCACCACCGTCTCTCCCCTTTGCTCCCTCACACAGGACCTTGCCTGGAACCTTCTCCAAGACGGGGTAGTTCTGCGCCCTCCCCATCCAGTCTCCAGATACCTACAAGAGACCTGGGCCCTGGGCACCCATATCAATGGGTGCGTAGGCAGCGACCTCTCAGTCTTTCTAGTAGAAAGAGGCAGAAGGGCCCTAGGGCCAGGATGAAACCAGACCCAAATTTTCCACCGTGAAAAGAACCAGAACTGGGGAGGAGATGGCTCCAAAGCACTGAACAGGCTGGACCAGGCCAAGCTCAACTTGGCCCAGCCTGTGAGTGAAGTACCAAACTCGGTGCCAGAGCACCACCACCACAGGATAAATGTGTCTCTAAGTCTCTAATGTTTGTTGGTTGACATCCTCCCCACCACAGTGATAGCTTTTCAGAAGAGGATATTGGCTGAGGTGATTGGGTCATGAGGGGGAAGCCCTTAGGGTAGGATTAGTGCCCTTATAAAGGAGGCCCGAGGGGTCTTGTCCGTTCCTCCCACCTGTGAGGACACAGCTAGGAAGCACTATCTATAAAGTGGCTGGGATTTGCTGTCTGGTGTAACAGGATCCTGTGCCCAAGCATGGATCCTGGTGCGCAACCCTAGTCACCTGAGCCCTTGCAGAAAGCTCTTGAGTTCCTGAGCCTTGCTTTGCTTGTCTCTGAATGGAGCCTTAAGAGTAGACATCTGTGGGCTGGAGAGATGGCTCAGTGGATAAGAGCACACTGATTGCTCTTCCAGAGATCCTGAGTTCAATCCTCAGCAACCACATGGTGGCTCACAACCATCTATAATGAGATCTAGTGTCCTCATCTGGCCTGCAGACATACATGCAGGCAGAATGCTGTATACATAATAAATAAATCTTTAAAATATCACATTTCAGCACAAAATGTCACCACAAAAAAAAAAAATAGACATCTGTATCTCACTATGTGGGACCCTGTCCTAAACTCTTTTAACATCTGCCAAGTAATTGTAATGGCAGCCCCATGTACTAGGTATTGTTAGCTTTACTTCATAGACAAGGAAACGGAGGCACCAAGAGGCAACGTGACCAAAGTGGGAAAGCTACCATGCAACAGAGTAAGCTTCAGATCAGGCATGATAGCCCAGGGTCCTTCAAGCTGGACTGTTGTTGGCCTGGGAGCACCTGCCTCAGAGGCCCAGAGCACTGGGCCCCTTGCCTGTACCCACTAGTGCCCATGACACTTAGTGCCAGGCATGGTGGTGCATACCTTTAATCTTGGGAGGCAGAGACAAGGGGATCTCTCTGAGTTTGAGGCCAGCCTCATATACGTGGTGAATTCTAGACACATAATGAGACCTTGTCTGAAAAAGAAAAACAGTCACCCAGCTGGGGCAGGAGTACCTAGTTCCAGAGCCATCTGATTCGAAATGCTCCGCATCCTCTCCACAGCCTGATGTTACTCACCCTTGTCGCTCCCCTCACCAGCCAAAATACAGAACTCTCGAGTTTGCCCATCTTCCCACTCAACTCCTTCACACCCTCAGTTCCTAGAAACCACTACTGTTTTTGTACATGGTCTTAACTGTGTAGCTCAGGCTAGCCTCAACCTTATAAACAACCCTCCTGCCTCAGCTTCCTCGCAGGCATCTGCTACCATGCCCAGCTAGTACTGATCTATTTTCTCTTTATAGTTTTTGCCACTTCCAAAATGTATTGTGAATAGGATCATATCGAGGGTAGCCTTTGGGGCTGGAGACATGGCTCAGTGATTGAGCAGATTGGAGCTCAGATGTTCAGAGCTTCCCAGAACATGCCAGGCAGATGTGACATCCCACCTGTGATTCAGGCCTCAGAAAGCAGAGACAGGACCCTCAGAGCAACAAGCTGACTAGCTACCCTGGAGGTGTCAAAAAGCCCTGGGTCTGTTTGAGAGACCCTGCCTCAAAGAATAAGGTGAAGAGCAATTGAGGAAGAGTCCCAAGGCTAACCTTGGGCCTCCACGTGCACATACATTCATAGACACATCCATCTGCACGTGTGCACGCACTCACGTGTGAGCATGCATACACATATATACCATATATATATGAAAAGAGAAGCTGGTCTACTTTCCGACATTACTCTTTGGAGATTCATCCATGTAGTTTTGTGTGCTAGTGTTTTGTTCCTTCTTATGGATAGTTTCCATTGAAGAACACACTCAGATTCATTCATCCAGTTGAAGGAGATTTGTTTCTAGTATTTGAGGATAATAAATACACAAGCACAGAATTTGGAGGCCTTGGGAAATGGCTCATTTGCTCTGCAAGCCTGAAGACCTGAGTTCAGATCCCCAGCACCTATATAAATGCTGGATGGGCACAGCAGCCTGCCTATAATTTCAGCACTCAGACAGTGAAGACAGCAGATCTCTGGAACAAGCTGGCTAGCTAGACTACTGGGAGCTCTAGGTTCAAGTGAGAGGCTCTGCCCCCAGTGAATAAGGTGGAGAGTTATGAGGGAAAACATCTTGAGCTACCATAACCAAGTGTACACACATGCATGTATACACACACATGCACTCATACACTACACTCACCAAAAAAAGCACAGGATTTTCTGTCAGTGTTTCATGTCAATTAATTTTGCTTTAAATTACAAATGCACTAATGAAGCTATTCCATTTATTCCATTAAGAGGTAATGGTGTGGGGGTGGGAGGAGGGCGGATGGGGGAATCCGTGGCTGATATGTGAAATTAAGTTAATTATAAAATAAAAATATTAAAAAAAAAAGGTAATGGTGTTAACTTCTAATCTTTCTTTAAAATCCAGCAACCAATCACTAAATTTATTTATTTATTGAGTTTTTCGAGACAGGGTTTCTCTGTGTAGCCTTGACTGTCCTGGAACTCGCTCTGTAGACCAGGCTGACCTCTAACTCAGAGATCCGCCTGCCTCTGCCTCCCGAGTGCTGGGATTAAAGGCATCACTGGATAAAGGCGCCCGGCAAATCACTATATTTTTCAATGTCTAAGTATGCACAATCTGAGAGTATAGAGGTTAGTAGAATCAAATGAGGTTGCTCATGCTTCAGTGAGTTTATTTCCAGTTGGTTCTGACCTACACAGAAGTTGATGTGTTCTCTTTCAACACCAGTCACTGGTCGTGTCTTCCAGAGGCAAGGGACAGAAGCTGTTGCTATTCTCACTGGGTTTCAGTCTGTGACTGTCTGGGTACATTTACCCTTCCTTCTGGTGGTAGTTGGACCAAGTCCAGCCCCGGCTTATAAACACACACTCCCTGCAGCTACCCCACTTACCTCAAGACTGGCTCATTGGATAGGCTGAGTGAGTCTTCCGTTTCTGAAGTGGAAATGTGGTGCCACAGGCGTTTGGAGGACTTTACTGGAAATTGCTCTCCAGCCCTAAACCTTTATATGGGTTGTCAAACTCTGTCCTTGGGCATGACACAGGCCATTGCTGTCCCTGGTGAGGAGAGAGAGGACTCAGCATCCCATGAGCGCCTAGTGGCCTAGAAGACCTCTCCAACTTCTCAAGGCCCATTAAGCCCTGTCCCTTCCAGAGGCTAGAGGAGCAGTCAGTGATTACTGGGGTGGGAGCTTTTCTTGAGTGCTGCCCATAATTGCCCACTCACTGGGAGGTCATTCTCTACCCCACCATTACTACCACCACAGTGCTCCTGTAAATGACCCTAACTAAAGCGGTTGGTTTGGTCTGCTTGATTTGGGTGGAACTTTGTTGTCGTGTCTAGTTGTTACTGTCATCGTTGCCCTTCCTAGGGTGAAGACAGAATAAAATGTGTCTCTAGGAAGAGTTAACACAACGGTGTAGATGAGCAAATGGCACCTCTAGAGAAGAACATGCCGAATGCCGAAGCGCTGGGAAGCAGCCAGCGGAACTGGGACAGAAGCCGGGCAGGGCTGAACTTGACTCTGAAACCTGTTTGACTTCTACCACAACACCCTACCCGGGGCCACGTTTTCCAACTACCCTACACTCACCCTAGTAAAAGAGGCACCTGCTCCAGAGTTCCAACCTTCCGGCTGCTGGTATCGTGTTAAGTTGGGATGGAGCCCCATGTGCTAGTTAAGCTTGGGGGTGCTGGAAAGATGGCTCATCGTTTAAGAAAGTGTACTGCTCTTCTAGAGGATCTGAGTTCCTTTTCACTAAGCTCCAGGACTCCCAGGGTACCTACATGCATATACACAGACATTCATAATTAATGTCTCATTGGGTGTATCAACCACATTCCAGGGAAGGCCCCCATCCATGCCCAGAAGTAGTTAACAGAAAACAGCAGCCAACAGAAAACAAACTCAATGGTATTTTTGCAGACTTTTTGTTTCATTTTGTTTGGGGGATCATGGTTTTTTGTTTTTCCCAAGATGGAACATAAAGTGTGATGGGAAGAACTGAGGAGGATCTGGGAGAAGTTGGGGTGGGGGGGCATGATCAAAATATATTGTATGAAAATTTTTTTAATTAAAATAATCAGGGGTCACCATGTCTGTCATCCCAACATTTAGGTTGTGGAGGCAGGAGGATCAGAAAGTCGTTCAACCTCAGCTACATAATGAGTTCATGGACTACATACATAACGCTAACCTGACTACATAAGACCCCCACCTACCTATCTATCTATCTATCTATCTACCTACCTACCTACCTACCTACCTACCTACCTATCTATCTATCTATCTATCTATCTATCTATCTATCTATCTATCTATCTATCTTCATCATCATCATCATCTATACAGATATACATACAGGCAAAGCACACTCTGGCAGAAAATAAAAACCATATATATATTCATTATACACCCACACACATATACATATATACTGTGCACCCCCGAGCGTACAGTGCCTGTGGAGGCCAGAAGAGGGTATGAGGTCCTTTGGTACGTGGTGGCTGGGAATCGAACCCCAGTTTCTCTGGAAGAGCACTCAGCGCTCCTAAGTGCGGAGCCTTCTTTCTCTCCAGTCGCCGAAAAAAATTCTCTCCACCAAAAAAAAAAAAAAAAAAAAACCCAAACAATTTTCTACCACAGATTCAGGGTTTGGCTTCAGCTGAGAATAAAAAAGAGTCAGTGACAACCCAGTGTGAGGGGAGAGTCCTTCCTCAGCCACCCCACAGCCTTCTAGGACGCCAGCCCCGCGGAAGCCCAGGCGCCGGGCGCAGGCGCACCAGAGCAGCGTCCGCGTGCCTAGCTCGCAACGGCAAGGCGAACGTCAGAACGGGGAGCGCGTGGGCCATGCCGGGGGCGGGGCTTGAGGGGCGGGGCCAGAGAAGCAGCCTGTGTGAGGGGCGGAGAGAGAGTGGCTGGTGCTCTGGGTGTGGGCGGGGCGGGGGCGGGGCTTCCCGCCGCGCGCTGCAGGTCGGCGGTTGGTCCGCCCCCCCCCCAAGCGGCAACAGTTGTCAGTTTTTCTCGACCCTCGGGTGGCCATGGGGGACCTTGGCCATCAGGACATCTTGGCCATCTTCAACCGCCTGCGTTTGGCGCTTAGCAGCCAGGTAGCGGCCGCCGGGGGAGCTCGGGACCGCGCGGCGGGCGTGGGAGGCGGGGCCGCCCGGTTCGTCAACGGCCGAAGTCGCCCACGCGGGATCTGAGTGACTGCGCTCGCCCACGCCCGTGCGTAAACCCGGCACCCGTGCTCCGTTAGACGGCCGGCCGGGATCCCCACTGCTCTCGCCGAGTCACTACTAAATAACCACGCGTTATTTATTTGAGGTAGTGTCTCACTGTGTAGACCAACTTGGCCTTGAACTAGCAACCTTCCTGCCTCTGCCTCCTGAGTGCTGGGACTTCTGGTGTGCGCCACGTGCTGTTTACCCCCGTGCCTTTGAATAACCTACTCTTGGAAAGGGGTATGCTGTCGCTTTTGCCACGTTTTACTGGTCGCCCAGACCACCGCGGTAAAAGTGAGGCAGAAACTGCACAGGAGCTAGGGGGAGGAAGATTGGGCCCAGGGGTTAGTGCAGAGGAGAGAAGAATCATGCCCAAGGGCCTGTCGTGTGAGATACAGCCACTGCCCAGTGGATGGTAAGGGACGGTGTCCTGGAGGGGCGGCTATGTTCCTGGTCAGCATTCCTTTATGGGCTAGGTTCCTAACTCGATGTTGAGAGGTAAGTCGTGTAGGATATGGCTTACAGACCTAAGTTCTCTTCACTGTGCATACTGCATACACAATAGCGTATTGCTGATACAATACAATAATTACATTGATAACTCTTTCTGGACCCATGAGTAGCCCCCCACCAGTGCAAAGCCAAAGCCTCAAACACGCTAAGCAAGTTCCTGACGACTGAGAGGTTATAATTTATAGATAGAATATGCGTGGGTGTTTTGCCTGCATGTATGTCTGTGTGTCTGGTGCCCATGGAAGCCAGAAGAGGGCATCCTATTCCCTGGAATTGGAGTTTGGTGATCGTGAACCAGCATGTGGCTACTGAGGACCAAACCTAGGTCTTCTGATAGCAGCCAGTGTCACTAACAGCCATCTCTCCAGCCCCAATATTATTAGAAATGTTTAAAGTTCTTTAAAAAAAAGGGGGGGGGGCTGGGATGCCTCGGTGGTTAAGAGAACTAGCTGCTCCAATTCCCAGCATCAACGTGGCAGCTCACAATCTTCTGTAATTCCAGTTATAGGGGACCCAAAACCCTCTTCTGGCCTCTATGGGGTGCCCAGATATACATGCAGGCAAAACACACATACACAGAAAATACAAATAAAAATTTAAATTTCTAAAATCCTAGATGACACTTTTCATGTTATTTGATTGTTTTGTAGCAGAATGCCTGGCATGGGATATGACTGAAAATATTATTTAGCTGTACAAGAAGAAATGGCACTTACATACAAAAGACATACAAAAGAAAGACGTGATTTATTCGGTTTTTGGTTTTTTGTTGTTTTGTTTGTTTGTTTGTTTTTTGAGACAGGATTTCCCTGTAGCTTTGGAGCCTGTCCTGGATCTCACTCTGTAGACCAGGCTGGCCTCCGAACTCACAGAGATCTGCCTGCCTCTGCCTCCTGAGTGCACCACCACTGCCCGGCAATTTATTAGTTTTGAGAAAATACTACATAATGCATCCTACAATGTCTGGACTCTTAGGTCTTCCTATGGAAGACCCACCATGATACCATTACTCTTCCAGTAATTAAATGAGGTGCTATTGATAAGGCATGGTCACAGTTAACTCCTTATAAGACTCCTTCCCAGACATCTGACCAGGACCAAGACTGTAATTTCTCATTTGTGGTACTTAACAGTGGAGCATTGTCCCATACTCCTGGTTCTGGTTCTGGTGAGAAGACCTACTTAAGTGACTTTCTTCAGCTCATTGAAAGCAACAGAACAAAAGCCCTGCCCATGCCAGAGAAGTTGGACCACATTGAAGAAGGCTTTGTAAACCTTATCTTTGAAAGTCTTTTTCTAAGCATGCCATGGTGAGTCATGCCTATCATCTCAGCACTGGGGAGGCTGAGGCAGGAGGACTGTCACACTTTCAAGGCTAGTTTGGGCTAAATAAGTTTCAGGTTGGCCTAAGTTACAGAGTGAGACATTATTTCAATCAAAAAACTTCCTCTAACAGTTGGCAATAAATGTGTAAAAGACCTCAGACACTGCCTGTATACAAGATCTGATCTCCTTAGACTCATCAGGACCCACCCCATTGTGAGGAAGAGGGGAGGTGACACTGTCCATGACCGTCTGTGTGATCATCTAACTGATTATGGATGTCTGTGTCTTTGGGGTCAGGCAGCATGCCTTGAGCTCTGTTGTATATACTAAATGACACCATGCAGTATATCGTGGTGCCCTGAACAGAGATGTCAAAGATTTGTAAAAGACAGCAGATTCCATCCAATTTAGTGATCTTCACCAAAGTCCCCCAGACCTTTCAACTGGCAGGGTCCGTGCCTAATTTCTCTGTGTCAGCTACCTAGGAGGTTTTGGCAGTATCTAGACAGGAGATGAAATGGGGAGCTCCTTCAGAGGCCAGTTGCTGTCAGACTAGCTCCAGATGTGGGTTTACTTGTCGATACCCCTAGGAAGACCTGTATGTACCCTAGACCGTGAAGTTGAGGGCTTGTATTGGGAAGCAGCGGACAACAGTCTCCAGGTTGCCAGGCCAGGAAAACAGTACATCCTGCTCTTTAGAAATGCAGATAATGTAGCCTGTGATGCCTTTGTACTGTTTATCAGCCACGGCCTGCTTGTTATCACATCATACCTTCAGCAGCAGCTTGACTTGCCTGATCAGAGAGACAGCCATCTTGGAGATGGCAACAGTGATGCTGGAGTGAGGAAGTTAATGGTGAAATGAACGGCCTGTTCCAGCTAGGTGGCAGAGGGGAAAACAGCAGGCAGAGGATGAGAGGAAGGCAGCACCGATTAGCCCTGCTGCCACAGTACCAGATGAATAGGTCACATGGTTCCTAAATGATCAGCATTTAAAGTGTGAATGTTTGACAGCTGTAAGCTAGTTGTGTACTGTGTTGTATAAGATAAACTCAACCTGCTAATATAAATGAAGTCTTAGCAATATGTAACGATTTTCTTTCAGGTATGTTTTGACTGCAGTGCCAAAAATCACAACTGGACAAGCATAACGTATGGGATGTTTCTTTTCATCAATTGCTCAGGGTCACTTTGTGTTCACTAGAGTTTTATCTGGTAAGTCTTCCCTTGCTTTTTGTATTATGTTGACTTGACAGATTAATTGCCAGTTAAGGAGGGTTTAAACCTTGCATCATTGGGGCTGGTTAGCAGCACATGCTGCTCTTAATGAAGACCAAGGTAAGTTCCCAGTACATCAGGCAGCTCACAACCTACCTGTATGTACCACCATCTCCAGGGGCATCCAGTGCCTCTGTTTTTTGGTCTCCATGGGCACCTGAACTCATGTGCACATACTTATATGCATACACATATATGTATAGTTATAAAAAATAAATCTTAAGAAGGGATCTTTCATCAACTAATAACCTGGGGAAATGAGCCATTTTCTACTCAGGCCTTTGTGGAGATCATTCGGGAGAAATAAAGCTCTAATGTTGAAGACAGAGTCTGATGAGGGGTCTCCAAGCAACAATTCCTTTCCCTCCAGCGCCTTCTAAGAAATTAAGAGTACAGAGTACACAATCGAGAGAGACAGGGGTTCCCTGTGCACACCATACAAAGTTGTGAGAGTTCACATGAAGGTGGGGTCGTCATACCAGGTAGGGCACCCAGCATAATCCTCCAGGTCCCCACTGACACCAGCAGGACAAAGCATGAGTGGATGGATTTGTTTGACTTTTAGCTGGTGACTTCACATGTTTATAATATGAAGGTCTTTCTTCCCTCTTTACCAAGGGCTTGGGCTAAACTGGCCACTCTAATGAGTCTACTCTGACACTGTGGACCTTTGCAGGTGTCTCAGTTACTGTTCTCTTGCTGTGAAGAGACACCATGAACACGACAACTGTGGCGCTTTGAATAGGAATGGCCCCCACAGGCTCATAAATTTGGACGCTTGGTCACCAGAAAGTAGACTATTAGGAGGTGTGACTTTGTTCGAGGAAGTGTGTCACTGGGGATGGGGCTTTGAGGTTTCAAATGCTCAAGCCAAGCCTAGTGCCTCTCTCTCTTCCTGCTGCCTGCAAATCCAGATACAGAATTCTGAGTTCTTCTCCAGCACCATGACCATGTCTGTGTAGTACATGCTGCCATAATTCCTCCCTTGATAATAATGGAGTAAACCTCTGAACCTGTAAGCCAGCCCCAGTTAAAGTTTTCTTTTATAAGAGTTGCCATGGTGATGGTGTCTCTACAACATTAGAAACCCTAACTAAGACAGCAATTTGTTTTGTTTTGTTTTTTTGAGACAGAGTTTCCCTATGTAGCTTTAGAGCCTCTCCTGGAACTTGTTCTATAGACCAGGCTGACCTAGAATTCAGAGATCTGCCTACCTCTGCCTCCCAAGTGCTGGGA